TATGTATTCTCTTTCTCTTTCTCTCTCTCTCTCTCTCTCTCTCTCTCTCTCTCTCTCTCTCTCTCTCTCTCGTGAGCGCGCGCGCGTTGCGTGTGTATGTGTGTGTGTGTGTGTGTGTGTATAATATATACACATACGCATATTTATACAATACTATATACTTATATATGCAGCTGGATTGTTAATATTAAATGTAGCCTGTTTATAAGCAAATAAAGTCAACTAAAGTAAGACAAAAAGATTTGTATCATTTTTCAATTTTTGCAATAGTTGACAAAAAATTCATCACTTAATCTTCGAATAATCCGTTCTGTCTACCGCTAAATATAAACGCGTGGCGACAGCAACATACAACCCAACATTGTAAATTGCTAAGCACGCGGGTAGTTAATACAAGTAGCAATGGAAACGTATAAGCGACGAAAGAAAATAAGGTTTGTTCGCATCCAACATGCTCCTACTTCAATCAGCTTCTGTTCATTGTGCTCATTAGAAAACGTGCTCATTAGAATGAGTAGGAGCTATGATAGAAACATGTTGAAGTATGCGAACAAACCTTACATTTTCGTGCTGAGTAGTCGTATCTCGCTACACGCTTGCATTCGGTGATAGGACGAATACATTCATTTGATGATTATTAGTAATCAATTTTCCGTTAATTAAAATTTGCAAATTTCAAAATGATATAAACCAGATTACAGATTATAGCTGCAATATTTATGTTATATTTATGTTATTATAACATAAATTAAATAATGATTCATGCAATGATTATCACACATTTATATAAGATTAAATTAAAAAAATAATAATACAAATTTATAATAATACAAATTAAAATCATCAATCAATACCTTGATTTTTACATATACATAAAGTCGATATTGGTGTATATTAAAATGTCAGGAAATAATAATAATTAATTTTAGATATTAAAATCATCGATCGGCTATATATCATTCCTATTAACAAAACATGGCTGAAGATGATATATTAATATTCAACACTACATAAGTGTAAAAATATAGATTCATGATTACAGTTTACATAGTTACAAGTAAAGAATTTTCTACCTTACTTAGAAAATACCTAGAAATTTATTGTTATCATATTTAAAAAATAAAATTATGTTTTGTCTATTATATAATTGTTGTTTATTATAAATAATATGTCATTAAGCATTTTGAAATATGATGAATTCATTGCATAGGAATAATTCAATAGTGATTAGGTTCTTATGCATTACATTTAAGAGAAAACTAGGAATTTGTAGTAAAAAATTATAAAATAAATTTCTCTTTAATGCTTTTTAATGGTTTTGAATTAGATTATACGTAATAATAACGTTTCATCAATTTTTAGTACTATCATGTTTTATCAAATCAATATCAAATCAGTGATAAGATGATGTAATTAGTGCATTTATGTCAGTTTTATTATCACTTACTTCAATCCTAAGAAAAGAATTGATTGGCTGTCTTTATCTTCGATAAACAGAAAAATATCAGATCAAATTGGTTATCTCATTACAAGAATGTTGCCAGAACATAAAAAATGATATACGTTATAAAATTGTAGTTTTAAGGCACCAAAATTTTATCATTGAAAATACAATTGTGAAGTACGAATTATACTTATAGTAACTAAATAAAATTACATTCGCTCACGTTTCAACAATCAATGTAACAATCAATGTGTCCTTGAAAAAGATATTTGAAAATATGCATAATACAATTTAATATCTCTTTTCTTTAGTACAATTTTAGTGGCTATAGAAAGTCGTATTAAAAATGCAATAGTGTTATTTCTCGTTTCGCAGTAGACGCATACATAATGGAGCGATAATCAATACGAAAAAAATTTTTCAAGTAAGTCACGTCATGCGAATTATTTTTTGTCTCATATTTTATTAGATCAGACATAAACATAGATCAGACTTTTTATAACTGAAACGTTTATAAATTTATTAACGTTTTTATAACTGAAACGTTTATAAATTTTTTTCGCAATATCAGCTATAATTATGGATAGCATTCTTAATATTTAATACCGTGCAATTCGCATTTATATGAAGAGCATGTGTGGTGATCATTCTTCGTACCGAAGAAACGAAATTTTCTTCATGTTATAGTTTTCGATATGGACATTACAAAATCTCAAGGATACAGAGGTACTAATTTCATGTGCTACAGTTATTCATGTTTAATATGTATAGTAAAGAAATTTATATATAATTTTGTATTGTAAATCCATTCTTGAAATATTTTGTTATCATTAATTTTTGTTCCGTAAAACATATAATATTAATTTATATGCTAGTTTGCAAGAGTGTTTTATTCCAATCGCTGATATCATAATTTAAAAACTTATTAGATTTCATGTGGGCAGTTAATCCTCATCGTATAGGATTTGAAATGGGCTTGTGGCCTAAACTCAAGAAATATACTGAAAAAAACTTGTTATCAAAAATTTGGGTTGGCATCATTTTAATTTTACTAATATTTGTTATTATTGTTCCGATGATATATGCAATTATACAAGTTTGGGGCAATATGACATTTGTAATAAGCAATTTACAGACAACGTTACCATTTCTAATAGCATCACTGAAATACGCTATCATACGACGCAAACAAACAGGTGTATATCCAGAATTATAAAAAATAAAGTGTTTAGTATTATATTTC